TGCTGGCCCTTGCTCCCCGGCCTCCTCCTTGGTCTGAATTCCATACTGAGGAGACTTAATCTTCTTCACAAACTGTCTTTTTTTTAATATTTGCTGTTTGTGTTTCTGATAGGCTGCAAAACTGAAGCTTGTGTTTATGTGCCCTTCCTTCTTTTGGCAAACCAGGAAGTGTCCATATGAAGATGTTAATACTTGAAGGGTGCTGCTGTTACTCATTAAAATGGCATTCTAGACTAAAAGTGCAGTGATGATGGGGTGGCAATTTCACAGTGTTACACCTCACCCAAGCACAAAACTACAGCCAGTTATGCCCTCCTGATGGTCATTTTTCATAATGCCATACTTTCCTCTTTGTATTTAAAAACTCTGGACTTCAAGGCAAGTGGTTCTCAGTATAACTTAGTGTCATATGCCCTAGGAGGCACAGGGCAAGGATCTAAATCTGTAAGAAGTCTGCAAGTAGAACTGGATTCTTTACAGTTGATTCATGGGGTTTTTATCAAGGGCTGAACAGTAAGTCACAACAGCATTGTCTGTCTTGTTCTGATTTAAATACCTTATTTTTGTACAATCTTCTATTAGTGTTTAGCCTGTGAAGTTCAAATTTGTCTTGTTTTCAGGAAAAAACCAGGAATTTAGAAAGCATTTAAAGTTCCAAAGCATTAAAGTTCCAAAGACATAACTTCACTTGAAAGGATCTTTCAGAAGATGGATCTGAGGACAGTCAGAAAAGGCAAAAAATTATGACTAACTGTATGGCTTTTTCAGTGAAAAGGTTTTAAACTACACAAAATTTTTGCTTACATTTCTGACATTGCAGCCCTTTTTCAGCTTTTCTTTGCAAATGTTCTGAAGAGCGTATCTGTGTAGTCTTAGCTGAAAGTGTTACTTGGGCAAAGATAAATGCCTCCTATCAAATCTCTTTTATGTCCATAAATTATACTTACAAATAATTTATACTTGTAGCTATTTCAACAGTTATGTGAAACATACAGTACAATATTTATTATACTGGATATAATAAAATTATGTTAAAATAATTACAAACCAGACATAGCCAAGACTGTTAAGAGGTGAGAATAATTCTAAGAAAACAGAATTCCTGGTAAGATGATAATGTAACCATTGACTCTGAATACCAATGTTATTGACACAAAGAGCTTTGACTGAACTTTGTCAGAGTTCGTGCAAAGAGGAGGGCAAGTTTAAATTGGATTTAGAAATAACTAAACGAAGGTAACAATACAATTAATCAGACCATTGAGGGGGTCTAGACTGAGAGAACAGCAGGACTGTGGGTCTGAAGACAAATTATCCAAAAATAATACATAATTTAAATTTTCAATAAGCCAAGTTTAGTTAATACTGTGATCCCGTTACATAGCAAAAGTTAACTAAAACTGAAACATGTCTGCTGTGAAGGGGCATGTGCTCCAACTTGTTTGAAATAACATAAGTCCCAACTGACGTGTTACATAAAACATATTTTCAGACTCCAAGGACCAACAGGCTAGGACAAACGTCATTGTTTAAATTTAAAGTACTCTGAGTGTGTTTCTGAGTCAGTGTTAAGATGTCTGATAAATATATATACTGGTAGGTTGTACAAGTAGGAGAAAAGATTTAATCTTTTAAGTCACATAAATGTGTTTTTGTTGGTTTGTGCTGATGGCATAACTCCTCCTTTCTTTATGGTTTGGGGGCTTTATGTGGAATTGGAAGGAGGTTTTGTATAATGGCTACTATACTCACCATTATTCCTGGGAATTCTGTGGCACTACTACTGGACTTCTGTTACCTGAAACAAGTCTGTGTTCATATTTGGGAGGAAAATGGGACCAGACAATGCCAACCCCTCTACCACTTTAGGTCGCCCTCTAACCCTTTCACCTTCTGCTGCACTTTCAAATGTTTGTAGGCTCCTTTCCTTTACTCTTCCTCTCTCTTTTTCAAGTCTATTCTAGGAAATTTATTTCAGTTTCATCTGTCTCTTGTTGCATAAATTTTGGTGTTTACTCATAATGTTGACTGCTGAACATTCTGCAGTTTGCAAGTTTGACCTCCAGATTCTCAGTAGTAAGGATGTGAAGTGTGTCAGTAAAGCAGGAACATTAGTGGCACATATGCACACTAAAACTCTTAATTTGAAAGTTAAACAGAACCACACAATTATGATCTGGCACAGCAAAGAGAAGTGAATGGTTTAATTACACAGTCCATGTTGTGGTAGCCCACATGTATTCACCCACATTCATAAGCATTCCCTTCCTGTATTCAGCTATTGAACCACCTTACAATTTGGCTTTCGTTGTCTAGAGTATTCTTTTTGTACAGTTTACATAGAAAAAGAAACTTGTATCTGCACTGATGGGTGGCTATGGTATTACTGATGATTATTGTAGAGCAAGGTTTTAATAGTGCACCAGACCTGCATCCGTTAGTGGCTCTGAATTTCTACTCCCTCTGGAAAATTGCCTAGAAATATCTATTATTTATATTTTTGGCCCACTGGTACCTCTGGGCACCACCTGCACTACAAAAAAATAGGTTCTGTGGATGTCAATCTATTCATCTCCTTTTGTGCAAGAAAGGTGCTCTATACAGATTTGCACAATGGCACCTTTACACACCCCTTTAAATCCTTCTGTTATATCAAAGAAATCTGGCCATTTTCATCATTAGTGCATTGCCAATTTGTGCTTTCTTAATTTATTTCTTTGCTACCCTCTGCCATTGCCTATAATGTACTCTGGAAATTCTTCAGGATGGTGTGGTTTTGGTTTTGCTTATCAAAAACTGATGTCTCCATGTAATAAAATTACAAGATGGTAAGCAGTAATGGAGGTGGTCTCACAGACACTCCTGGGTCAGGACTCTTCTCAAAAGGCACATTCCACTCTTTCTTTAAAATATTAAAAATTTGCTGAGGTTTGCCAGTAATGAGATCTGAAGGTCTGCAGCTGTTTTATGGGCTGCACCAGGTGAGCTCCCTGATTCACGGAAATCACAGATTCTCTGAGTGTTTACGTGTTGGTTTTTTAAAATGGAGTCTGTGTTTCAGACCATTTTATTGCAAACAAACAGAAATCTAACAATAAGTAAACTGAGAAGGAACTGAGTGCAGGTGGGGTTATACAACTTTTAGCTCCTATGCTGGGATTACCGGCACCTCCAGAAATTTTTCAGAAAGAAAGCTGGTACTGTTCTGTACTTAAAGTACTTAAGTACTTAAAGGATAAAGCTTCTGAAGCTTTTTCAAGTGACTAGAAACAATATGTCCTACAATGATTTCCTACAAGGATAACAGGGGGAAATAATGGAGGAGTCCATATATGGAAACTGGGAAAAGGTACACTCAGAGAAAGCTACTTCCAGTTGCAAAACTGTAACCTTTACAGCATAATATATCTAAGTTTATCTCACTAGCATATTAATAGCAGCAGATGCTTTATCTTAACCATGTATGAATTCAAACTAAAATTAAAAAATCAAGCATACTGATAGCAAAGAAATAATGTAGCTACACTGCATAGAAATGTAGGAAGGAGAACTTCAGATGTTCCCTGATGATGTTTTCAAACCTGTTCTTGCAAAACTCAGTGATAGCAAGTATGTGATGTCCTGCAATGCCTTGGCTACCTGAAATGTGAGGTACCAAGGCAACCTGGAAAAGTAATCAAGAAATCTGTAGCTGCAAACTAAGCCCATCATTTTCTTTCTTCTCTCTCTGACATGCACCTTTTTTAACAAAAGATGTACACATCTGTAGGCTGTTGTCATGGTTGTGGTAGTCATCTTTCCCAGATGAAATAAGTCTCAGCCTTATCTAGTTTTTAAAAACCTCTCTTTTTCTGTTGCTCTTCTCTAGACCCTTTCTAGTATGACAAAGTCCATTTCAAAGACATGATTTTAGCTTAAACCTGCATGTACTTTAACAGACTTTATTCCTGTAATATTTACTGCTGTATCCATAAAGACTGATGCGCCTGTCTAAATTCAGAGTTATTTGTTTCAGTGGAGTTATCAGTGCCCAAAGTAAGCATGCACACAGAGCTTAATCAGAATACAGCCTCAAAAATCTAAGTGAAGATAAATAAGGAAAACAAAAGCTAATAATTTTGATGCTTACTAGTTTTACTTTTCCAGCAGTTTATTCATAATTCTGTTCTAGGAATGTGGATCTTCCTTGAGATTTTCCTCTGTCCTCAAATTTTATCTGAGTGTCTGACTCACTTAAAAACTAAGATAGTCTCTTCCACATAATTTTGGAAACTAATCAACATTTTACAGATAATCACTAACACCTTTGGAATTACACAGAAATACATACAAAAATAACACAAATACTTCTTAAACTGTGCAGATTTCTGCAGAAGTTGACACAAGAAGTTTATGCAGTAGATCCTATCCAAAAGATAAATCATTCTGCAATACAAATAACATCTCTGAATATTGTAATTTACAGGAATTTTTTTTTGTAAGGTTATTGTGTAAGACCAATGCTACTTATATGTGGATGCACTAATGTTTTTCATATATGTTACAGGATAATGAACGGTTCTAAGAGAACATCTTGCAGAAAATACCCTATTTTCTAACACAGGGGAATGAATTAATGCCACCAAAAAAAAAAAAAAAAAGGGCCGAACCCTTTTTTTTTTTAAAAAAAAAAAAAAGAGAAAGATGGGGTGAGCTTTTCACCAAACTAATGGGTGAAAGAGGCAAAAACTGGACTTTGGCTGCATGTATAATGGGTAAATTTATCCGATTTGAATTATACAAAATAATAGGTTCGTTCTATTCAAGTCTCATCCCAGACCCACCCCCCTTTTCCAGCCCTAGGGGAGGGAGCGTTAAATAATGGTCTGTGTAAACTGATGCTCATGCAGTAAGAGTTTGGAGAAGTGCTGCTTGTACAAGTTAAAGCAGGCACCGAAGAAACAGCAACCAAATAAAAAGCAGCTGCAGGAGCAAAGTGGACCCTTCTGAAATTAAAAGACATGTCTTTCTTCACCAGAGTTCTGACGATGAAATGCAAGCAGACACTTGAATGTGAGAGGACTTACTTTTACCAGGCGCTTTTTGCCAGCAGCAGGTTTCCCGGGCAGCCCCGGCTGTGCAGCAGCCAGCCCCTGGAGGTGCGGAGCAACCCGCGGGCAGCGGCGGGGAACAAAGGCGAGGGGCGCGGAGCGGAGCTGCTGGAGCCCCCCCCGCGCCCCCTGGGCAGGGTGAAGAGCCTGCACGAAATGCCCGGACCCAACACCCTCTACAACCTCTACGAGTTCTTCTGGAAGGACGGCTTCGGCCGCATTCATGAAATCCAGGTACAGCTCCCTCGGGTACTTAAAGTTTTAATCATGCCAGGGTTACTTAAACCTTTCCTTTCCTCCCCCGGTAAAGCGCCGGTGAATCGCCGGGATAGCAGCACCGCTGCTTGGCATCGCGGCGCCGCCTTCCCGCAGGGGAGAGCCGGTTTCAGGGGATCCCCCGCCCCAGTGCCCGCAGCACCGGAGGCTCCGGCACTTTTGTTTCGCGGGGGATCCCACGATCCCGGCGCCCGCGAGCGCTCCCCGCGCATCTTTGTGCGCGTTTTGAACCGCTGGGGAGGTGCCTCAAGCTGAAAGAAGGAAAAAAAAACCCCCCCCCTTTTTTTTTTTTTTTTTTAACTGGGCTGTTTCACAAGCTTGCAGAGGGCTTATTTTTGGCGGGCAGGGCTGGAAAACGTGGGCTTCCCCGGACTCTCAGACCGCAGCACCCACCCGTGCGGTGAGGCTGTGCCGGCACCCGGGGCCGCCCCAGCCCTGCCGCGGCCGCTGCCCTTCCCGCAGCCCGGCCCGGCGCTGCTCCGCCGTGCTCAGAGACCATTTTGTCTCTCCTACCCCGGCCTCCCCTCACATAAATACACTCTGCCTAGCTCGGTGCCCTGAGGGAGAGGTAGATGCGTCTGGCCCCGCTGCCGTCAGCGCTGGCCGGCTCCCCGCGGCCGCCCCCGTCCCTTCGGCGGGAGGCGGGCGGTTTGAACCGCGCCGGGGGGGCGAGGGACAGGCCCGCGAGTGGCGGCGACTGGCGCGGCCGGCACTGCCGCCCCCTCCCCGGCCGCCACAGTGGCGCGGGGGAGGGGAGCGGGAGGCGGGAAGCGGGGCCGGATGGCGGCGTGAGGGGAGGGAAGGGAAGGAGGGAGGGCGGGCCGAGAGCGGCTCCTGTCACCTGGCGTGTGGCGGTGCCGGAGCGGGGGGAGGCGGTCAAGCGAGCCAGAGGCCGGGTGGGGCTTGAGCAGCGTCCTCTGGACTGGGCACCTCCGCTGCTGCGGAGTCCCGCGGGCCGCGGCGCGTCCCCTCCGCCGGGCGCACCTGGTGAGGGTGGGCGAGGCGCGTTATCCATGAGGGAGCTGGGGGAACAAGGATCTTTGTGCAGCGCCTCGAGGATGCTGGCATGGGCAGCACTCTTACCGTAAGGCTGTCGCTATCCAGAGATGAATTCTTTTGGTTGCTTGGCCAAACATGTGGGTTTCATTCCTGAAAAGTCACAGTGCATCTCCTGGGGCCCTTTCCCCGTGTAGTCCAAGCGATTCTAAAGGAAGCGCTTTGTGTATAAGGGAGTAAAGCTGCGTGTTTCACTCTTGCATCTTAGGACCCATACGCTTTCCACCGGCAGTACATATCTCATTGGGAATACCTCAAATGGGGCATTTATTATGTTGCTTTTCTTAGTGACCTTTCCCAGATCGCTAGGAAGAAATTCACAGTCAGCCCCAAGAGGTTTCCTGCCTGAAAATTACTGCAATTTCAGGAAGAAAGAAGAGAGAGAAGGGGAAATAAAAATAGAAAAGGGAAAGTAAAGAAAACTGGACTTTAGATGGTATGAGAATCAAAACTTGAAAGTTGAGATTTACAAAGGGCCTAAAAACACCAGGAAGAGGCAGAAGACAGAAAAATAAAGACTCACATAAATTGCTTAGTTTTGTCCAGCTTTCTTATATTTACCATTTAGATTTTTAAGAAGAAATTCTAGGATGTATGCTCTGTTCCATGGCACCCAAACTAGATTGCTAATGATGAATTGCTCAGCTTGATTGCTTGCTAACTAAGACATACACATGAAAGTTAAAGACAACTAAAGCTCTTTGTTTCATTCTGTTTATTTTTTCCCTCTAACTCTGTGGTGGTGTACAGAATTTGAGAGGTACTCATTGTAGTTTCGTAACACTAAAAAAGATGCTGCCATTGGTTTCAAGTTCTTTCCCTGTCAAAACAGTGGAAATTATTAAAAATATTAAAAAGAATATAAGACATCCTAAATAGCATATCCTTTTTGCTACGACTAGCTGATATGGGTGAGTACTATTCCTAGAAAGGAAAGTGTGAGGAAGGATGAGGAGAAGTTGCAATATAATACTAGTTTTTATTCTGCCTAGAGTCTCAAGAATCACAGGATGCCCTGTTTGCCTACACGTAGAATGCAAGTAGGCATTAAATTTAGCAGTCTGTTAGTTTAACAATACAGTGAACATCAGGAACGAATCAATCCCAAACCCTTTGGTAACCAGCACAGCTACTTAAACGATGTCCTTTGGTGCACACAAATATTTGTGTGCTATATGCAGAAGGGGTGGGGAAGCCCAGAGCCTTTTCACAAAGGAGGTTCTGTTCTCAGTAACACGATTCCAGTTAGTCCTGGCCAAAGTAGTAATGCCTACAGTAATTATGACAAAGGGAAAGTATTTTTAATTTGGTGAGGTTGGATCTCTTTCGTCTCATCAGTGCTATGCAGGGATAAAGAAAAGAAAGGTGAGGAGGGAGGGATTTGGATGCTGGCAGTTTGAATTTATGGTGTGTGAAAGAATGACTGGTGTGAGAGTGGTATGTGAGGCACTAGAGTGGAATATTTTCAAGGTTTGGAATGAGGGAAAGAAAAACCCATGTTGTGATGGAAAATACAGAAATAGAAATCCTGGAGATTTTTTTTATACATGAAGTTGATAGAATGGTGTTCAGTCTGTTGAAAGAAAGGGATGTCCAAATACTTTGTCCCTGTCCATTTCTGGTTTAAAACTAGTATTTATTTGATTTAGTATTTATTTGATTGGATAGCTTGTCACTTGATTTATTTTCTGTTGAAGGTTGTTGTCACATGTAAACCTCACCATCACTGAAAAAAATAAACTGTTCCATAAATACCAAAATTTGTTGAACCTGTTTTTCTGTGACTGGTGGCCTGTAGTCCCCTCACCCCACTGATTTTTCCTTGCCACACTCCTTTCCCAACTCATGCTTTGCTTTCAAGACACATACTCTCACAGTTATTATCTCCAAGTTCAGTATCCCTAAAGTATTTGTAAGGCAAGAGATGTTTTGGGTTTTGGGAGAGCTTGTTCATACATTGCTCTGTCTGTGGTGTTGGTTAGGAGCAGACCACGCAGAAATGACAACAGAGTTCCTGCTGTAGCATTTCCCTCATCAGGATGACTAATACCTCTGTCTTGTATGAATCTAGATACTGATTTTAGAAAAATGGTAAGAATATTGTTGTGGGACACCTTTAGAACTTCGACTGAAGTTGGCCATTGTGTTCCAAAAGTAGTTAAGAGGTGACTGGCAGAGACCACAATTGCACAACTCATGTTTTATTTGGAAACTAGACAAAAATAATTACATTTTTTTAAGTGTACTTGGTATCGTGTTCTGAAGAGTGATTCATGTGTCTTAAACTTATTTTTGGCAATTAAACAATTCATCTCTGTAACTAAGACTGAATAAAATATATTTCACATACATTAATCTTGGGTCAATACTAGATTTTCACAAGTGCAGTTGGTGTCAACCATCTTTGGTTTATAACCAGCATAACTCTGTGTGCAGATGTCTTTGGATTAGAATGTAGGTAATGTCATAATAACTTTGGTCAGTTTAACTTGTCTTAATACTTTAACCAGAAATAAAGGCTTTAAAATTGATTTTCAGAGTCTTAATAATATCTTTTTAATAACTGCTTTGCAGTTGGGGGGTGGGGGTTTCCCCCCTCTGAAAGAAGGATGAACCTGGACTCCAAGTGAATTTGTAAGACTTGAGAATTTCACTTCATGACCATGTCAGAATGAAATTTATTTGAAATAATCAGTAAGATTTCATGGAACAGTGATAGTGCAACCTTACCGGAAAACTTTTTTGGGTTGGTTTTGTTTGTTTGTTTTAATATATAGACACAGCTTAATGTTTTCCAATCCTCTTTATTAATTTCCAATCCTCTTATTTGCCTCATGACTGAATCACAAGATTTGTGGATCAATCACTTAATAAACCCCACTTGAAGAATAAGACCCCACTTTTTCCTTTCTTTCGCAGAATTAACATATGTCTCTCTCAAGTTCACTGCTGACAAATCTGTTCCAAAATGCAGTGTTTCACTAGGCTGTTGCACTGTCATTGTTCTTGGTTAGGTGCAAGAAATTTATACATAGCTGCTTTATAAGCAATTAAATGGTAGAGCAAGTAGTTATTCACAAAATATATCTTCGTATTATACTGGTAATTTAACCCTATATGCTTCCATGCTTTTCATTTTTGCAGACATTCTTGCCAACCTGTTTGATCTGAAGGGATGTGTTTTGAAGTCCTTTCATCTTCTCAGTGTTTGGTTTCACTCACACTCTGTGCCTTAGAGCTTTGGGTCTTTCAGTCAGGGTCCTGAACTGTGTGACCTCTCTGTTTTCCTTGTGAATATTTCACAGTAATGCTTACATGCTTCTCCTGACATTTCAAACTGTTCCTTGACTGGAAGGCTGGGGATGAAATGCTAGATGTGAGAGTTTGTGTATAACAAATTGTCAGTTTCCTTTTGTCATAGTTTTCCTTAGTAATACTTGACTTCTCTTTCTCTTTGTTGGTGATGCTGTAGCAAAAACACACTCAGGAATATGGAAAGATCTTCAAGTCTCACTTTGGTCCCCAGTTCGTTGTATCCATTGCAGATCGAGACATGGTTGCTCAAGTGCTCCGAGCAGAAGGCAGAGCACCACAAAGAGCCAACATGGAATCCTGGCAGGAGTACAGAGATTTACGGGGCAGAGCCACGGGGCTCATTTCTGCGTAAGTGCCGTCAGCCCTTCACTTTCCTTGTTTTCTTGTGCAAGTTTTGTGATTTTCTGAAGGACTGTACAGGTCATCTGGGAAATCAGGCTTTTCTGTGTGGGGAAATTTATGTGGCTGGTGGGGAGAAGGGAGTAGGTATTTGTGATGAATGCTGTGAATTTGTTCTGCTGTGAAGTTTCAAAGGGATGGCAGTGATGTGTAGTTAAGTGTGCAGTGAGCTACTTTGAATGAAGACATTCTTTGGGAGTGTGTATCAACTGGAGTTTGAGCTGACTCACTTACCTGCAAGCAGTTTTACAGAATAGAGCTTACTAGCTTTGGCACTGCACTGCATGAATGTGGGTTTATTGCATCACTTCTAGACGGTTCTATCTAGCAGGCAGTGTGCTGTGGGGAATTGTTGGCTCAGATTGGTTTAAGCTTTATTGTTGACTGAAATGCCCCCTCAGTAGACGAATGTACAGAATGGTCAATTCACACTGTAGTGCATCCCCAGACAGATATTTCTGAATCTGCCTGATTCCAGAGGAGCTATCTGTCTGTACAGCTTGCATAACCTGGCAGCGCATGTGGGTGTGGTTAATTGCCACTGGGAACTACTCACAGTCCCCACTGACATAGGATGTTTATTTAGAGGGAAATTAATTTCCTGAGTCATGGACAGTCTGTTTTTCATGGTAGCAAAAGGCTTTATGTATTGCACGGCAGACTCAAATCTTAAGCTGCAGTTGAGACTCAAACTAACAGTTCCTTGATACTTAGTGAAAAGAGACCTTAAATCAGGAGATTCAGGAAATACCTGTTAAAGACATCAAATTCTTCTGCTGGCTGATAAGTTTCTGTGCCTTGCAATGGCATTGCTTCAGGTAAAAAAAGTAATGGGAAACAAAATAAACACATAAAAGATAATTGCCCATTTTCATAAGGAATTGAAAGGTATCCCTGGAACCACTGTTCCTAAAATACTCTGCTCATACAAAGCACATAAATACTTTACACATAAAAATTCAGATTTTTAGTCTTCAGCATCAAGGTTTCCATGCATAGCTCAGGTAAAGCAGAATCTGTAGCTGTAAGTTGTTTCTCTACAGGTAGCTCTGCTCTCTTATTGCTTTGTAGGTTTAGAACTGTGATGGCTGAAGGTGATGTATCAGTAGTGGAATTTATGGTACCAGCTCAAGTTGTTGATTTGTCAGATGTGAATGTGAGACCTTTATTTGGTAATTAAGTACTGGTGGTCTGTAAAAGCAGTTTTGCAGACTACCCATTCGAATATTTATTTAAAGTAATTTTAATAGAATATTTTACTAATTCCTTGCATTAGCTACTACTAAAAGACTAAAATAGGGACACTCATCAAATTCAGATCACTGAATGGGTGAGTTCTGTCACTCAACCCCGAGATTGATATGTTGCAACACTGAATTTTAATGAGGATGTGCAATAAATACAGAATAAAACTGTAGGAACATAATACAAAATATACATTATCATAATTTTTATTTCACCATTTGCTTTCATTTGACATGAAAAATTGCAAACAGTTTGATTGCAGAGCTCTTACCCAGGTGATGATTGTTAAGGAAAACAATGCATTGACATTATTAATAATTTCTTCTAGGGAGGGGGAGCAGTGGCTAAAAATGAGAAGTGTACTGAGGCAAAAAATTCTGAAACCCAAAGATGTGGCTGTTTACTCTGAAGGAGTCAATGAAGTTATCACAGACTTAATTAAAAGAATCCACACCCTCAGAAGTCAAGAGGAGGATGGGGAAACAGTGACCAATGTTAACAACCTTTTCTTCAAGTATTCAATGGAAGGTAAGCAAAGGCTGGATCTGTAGAGAAAATAGATGTAAAGCAGCGTGGTTGTGGTGAGGAATTTCTGTCAAATGACTTTGCCCTGATGTGAAAAAGGAGGTTTGACATTCTGCATTTGTGTGTCTTCCTAGTTAGTGCAGTGGGTATCAGTAGAATTCCTTTGTAGAGTCCTTATATTGAGGAGCAATTCCCATGGAAATACTGGTGTACAGGTAAAGTGTTCAATCAAGGTCTTGAACAGTCTCAGTACTCTGTATTTCTGCATTAGTTCCTCAAGAATAAGGGTGCTGACTTTCTAACAGGTGACTTCTAAGACATGTTAATTTCACAATATACCAGCCAAATTCCAATGAGGAATCCCCATGTGATGTATCTAAATTCAGTTCATAGCTTAATGTGGGAAAAAATACTGCTTTTCCCTGCCTACAGATGCCAAGTATGGGATTGTTATGCTTGCCTTAAGATCATCTGCCTCTGGCTACCATTAATTAATGAGGGAATGCAGAATGAAACCCTGGCCTGAGCCTGTATGGCAGTTCCTGTGTTCTTACAGCAATCTCATGGTGATACACATTTTATGTATTTCTTTAACTGACTGCATACAACCCCATCTTGTTATATGTAATGCCTTTTAAAAACATTGGTACTCTTTGCTGACAGGCAACTGAGTAATTTGGGATTTGAAGAATATCCAGATTGCTCACTTTGTGTCAAATTGCTGGCTGCCTCCTTGGTCTGTTTCACATTAATAGTGTCTAAAAACAGCATTTAACTACCAGTTTATGGAATTTCAAACTGTGAGCTTACAGATTCACTGTAACTGATGGGTTGGTTTAAATTCTTCACATTCTTTTAGTTTTTAATTTATAACTTGTGCCTGGCACACATTTATTTTGTATATGACTTGCTGTTTATTTAACTTACGCTGTAACTGTTCAGAGAAACAATACATAAGATTTCTTTGAAGGGACCATGTAAGCTGTGAGAGGATGTATAAGAACCAGCAGTTTCTGAAAGAGGCACAAAAGAAAGAAAAGATGCAGAAAAATATCTTCGCAGGGAGGAAAATTAGAAAAGGAAGAGTGAGTTGAAAATAACCAACATTTAAAATTATTTTTGTCAGTAAAGATAATGTCTAGTGGGAGTGCCTGCAGAACTGCAGAAAAAGATCTGTGAAAATTACAGCAAGTCAGAACAAGAGACAGTCAATATTGTCACTTGCAACAGTGTCACACTTGCTGTTTTTTAGGGCTGGATGGGCGTGCAGTAAAAGCACAGTCTGGAGTGCAAGCTTTTTATCCATTTACACAGGCTCAGTATTCATTTGCTACCAGCTGCTGACAGACACAGCCAGTGGTAGAAACCCCTCCGTTGTCACCAGCTATCAGAAATGTCTTTGTGTTTTCAGAGGCCAGCAGGGCAGGCTCAGGATTCACAGTGCAGTGCAAAACACAGCGAACAGGCTGGAGGCTGCTCTACTTCTGGTGGAATTCCTGGCTGTCTTCTCATGCTGAGCATTATTGACATAGCAACTACTCTCTTGCTGCAATGTTTAGCTGGGCTATTTTACTGTGGTTTGGATTTCTGTTTTATCTGTTCCCTAGCTGAAGCAGTAATAATAATATTAATAAATTTCTTGTAAAGTAGTTCCATTTGTAATGCTAGTTAATTCCTTAAATTATTAATATGTATTCATGAATGTGTATAGACAATTCTTTCATTTTTTTATGTGCAGGTGTGGCCACTATTCTGTATGAATGCCGGCTGGGCTGCCTGGAAAACAACATCCCACAGCAGACTGTTGAATATATTGAGGCTCTGGAATTGATGTTTAGCATGTTTAAGACCACTATGTATGCAGGTGCTATTCCCAAATGGCTTCGTCCACTTATTCCAAAACCCTGGAGAGAGTTCTGCAGATCCTGGGATGGACTCTTCAAATTTAGTAAGATTTAGTAGTAGAAAAGTTCAGCTGTATTTCTGCAGGTTCTGTGTGTGTTTGAACGGAACAAGCTGCATTTCTCTTCTAAAATTATAAGAAGACATTGTGGCAGAAGTAAGTTTCATATTAAATGCAGACTGGCCAGGGGAACTGTTTTAAAAAATATTCTACTGCAAACAAACTTTAACAGTACATTTCAAAACTCCCCTATTTTATACTGCTCTTTCTTTATTTATCTTCATCTGTTTCAGCACCCACTTGTCATTCCAGGTCCAAGTGCTTTGCCAAGGTTTTGTCTTAAGCCACTTCAATTTTAATGAGGGTAGTTTTGTTGACTTCAGCAAAATTTTAAATAAGCACCCTGACATAATCACCACTAAAACTGACTAGAAAGTTAATAAACTAGGCTCTGGCAATCAATTAAACACTTTGTAAAGTTTATTTATATATATACAAGTGTATAAGTTGGCATCAAGTACACTGATGTACTACAATATGGGTTTTTTGGTAAATAAAACATTCCAGGCTACTTTACAAATCAGTTTTCATGTAAGTAGGAAGGAGGAGTTATCTTTGCAATTTCATTTTTTTTCATGTTCTTGAGTGTTAAAAAAACTTGAACCCATTTTCTCTCTCAAATATGAGAAAGCTGCATGCATTTTAATTTTTTGTAGGCTCATTCTATGAGCCATTAACTTTCAAAGGAGTTTTTCTCTTCTTAAATCCTTTGCTTGACCAAAGATGCTGTTTGCAGTCACTAGAATGTACATGGAGCTGTGGATGAAATTGCTCAGCGTGTCATTCACTGAAGTTTTTGTATTTTTGTTATCACTTGATGGTACTCATCTTTCTCTTCAAAGTAATTAAGTTCTGTGGCTTTGACCTTCTGGTTGCTGCTAGCATCTTGCAGCAGCCTCTCTGTGCTGAGCTGCAGCGTACTCTGCAGAGTTCACCACTCCCTGCAGAGCCACCAGGAGACAAGCCAGGTGGGCATAAAAACTTGGCCTCGAGCTTCCCTCAAGGAAAGGAACTGAAGTCTCTTGTGTCCTCTCTTTGTGCTCAGCATTCTCATGCTGTGAGTTACCAAGGTTCCTGTCAGCTCAGTCTTTCCTTGCCATGAGTACCCAAGGACCTCCACCACCACTCTAGGATTTTTCCTTAAGAAAAATGAATTTTTTTTCCCTGGATGTGCAGTGTAGCATGAGAAATGTGATTACTGAATGGAAGCAGCAGAAAAATAAAAATGGAGGCTTAACAATTTTTTTGAATCCCAAAGGTCAAATCCATGTTGACAACAAATTGAAGGCTATTCAGTCTCAGCTGGACCAAGGAGAAGCAGTGAATGGTGGGCTACTTACACACCTCCTAGTGAGTAAGGAACTTACTTTGGAAGAGATCTATGCCAACATGACTGAAATGCTTCTGGCAGGAGTGGACACAGTAAGCTTGTTACCATTTTTCTTGTGCATAGTTGTTTTTGTACACCAGGATCACTGGCAGCTCTCTTCAGGGGGCTTACATTGCTCATAAGGATGTAATTCTAACACATTTAAGCCATGATGCCTTTAAAGTGATAGAAAATACTTCCTGTACTGTGTCATCTCCACTGGAATGAAATCAGTGTTCTGATCTAGCTGTGGTTTGCAGGAACCCATCACTTGGGAATCTGTTCCACAGCTTATTAAACAGATAAAATAGCAACTGTCTTTACATTCAGCTTGTATTTCATACATTTTCTTTTACTAGTTTCTTATCAGGTTTGTTTTTGTGCTACTTTAGGTGGAGCACAATAGAAAGGTTAGCTGAAAGTTAGGGTGAAAAAAATTGATCAATAAACTCATGTAGAGTTTGGTAACTGATTTTCATGGATGGCTAAGTAAATCAACTGGGACACACATTATGGATCAGATACCTGCTTTCTGCTGGAACCCATTGGCACCTAAAGATTCCCAAGGGGATGTTAGGCCAGCAATGATTTGGATAAGTCGTAAGTTCACTCTACCCCTGCTTGTGCTGGCAGCATAGAGTCAGGCTGAGGCAGAGAGCTGAGGTAAAGGCTCAGGGTTAATTGGACTGGTGTATCCAATATGTTGACACCTGGGAACGTTTTTCAAGTGACTCTCATTCTTTATTCTTCTGATTTGCCATACATTTGGAGAAACATTAATGTCCTGTGTGTATCTTCCCCTTTCATTGCTAGCATGTGAAATCAGTACTGACTGCAGCATGACAATTGGAAGAATAAGGGAAAAGAAAGATGAGTTATTGTATGTACAACGTATACAGAGTTATTTAGAATATCAGTGAACACTTCTACTATAAATGATTGTTACTGAACAAATTTTAAAAGCAATTATATTAATTTGCTAAAGAAGTGCTATGTAGGACTTAAATAGTCATATAGTAAAAAGGTTTAAAATAAGTAAAAAAATAAAATGGTCTTAAAGAAAAGAAAAGCTATCTGGATAATTGGATTCAGATTTTTTGTGGCTTAAGAAAGTTTGTAAGGTTTCTAAAGAAAACAAAAAAACCCCAGCAGCAATCACTTTTGAATTCCAAAATAAGGAGCATATGTAAAACTTCTTTATGTGTTGAATATTACTCCATTGGTTAAGTGTCCCAAGGGCATATGAATTTGCAGAGCTTTTTGATGTTGGTTCTTAAGTAAAACACAATTATTAATCCCATTCATTTTCTAATCTTTCAGACCATTAATTTTCCATTTTTAGTGTGTGACATTTTTCATTAAAATAATAGGACAATGTTCATGCCAACAAGAATTTCCCTTTCCATTTGACTCAGCTTTCTCAGTTGGGAACAGACTTTTTCTGAGAGGACTATCCTTCTGACTTCCTCATTTTCAAGTACAAAACAAAAATGGAAGGAACCTTGTTTTTCCTACTGCTGTCAATTCAGATCTCATTTTATCATAGAAACATAGAAAGAGATTTTGAGGATTATGAAAGCTTTCAACAGAATTGTGAGGCAGTTGTTGGCTACAATGCATTTTGTCTGTTGCTGGAACAGTCCTAACTTTTAAGAAGTTATGAAGGAACTGGGAACCTGGGGAGGAGCACTGTTTATATCAGAGAAGTTCTGCACAATTGCCAGCTCCTCTGAGTGGAATAGAACTGGGTTGCATTGTAGAAGGCTCAGCCATTCCATATTGCAAGAAAAACTTAGGAGAAGTTGGTACTTCAAGCATTATACCCCAGTTTGAAGACAAGACATAAAAGGTCACAATCATGACGAATTTGCATTCTAAATTGATGTTAAACTTAAGACCAAAATAAGACATTTCCACAAGCTGATTTTTTTCCCAGCTGTGGTTAAAAAAGATTAGATGATGGGTTTCTTTAAATCCTCTTGTGCTCAAAGTTGAACTGTGTCCTGCCTCGTGTTCTCTTTCTTCTTCAAACAAAATATTTTTAAATGATAGTGGTGTAGCATTGCTTACCAAAAGGATAATCTTAGCAGTGATGATATCAGTTCTGTCCTGTGAATGCTATGAGGGGACCACCGTATGCTTAAAAGGGGTTGGAAATGTTCTGAGAAGAATTTTCTTATCTTGTTTCCTGTGAAGTGTTTTTGTTGGAAGGAAAGATGAAATGCACATTGAAAACTAAGAGCTAACTTAATCCATTGCTGTTTGGAGTGCTTATGTTTCAATACTGCTTACACAGTTGGGTTTCCATTTGGTTTGTCTGTTGCTTTTTATATTTCACTGGGAAAATATCAGCAGGGATTGTTTTGATATGTGGTGGACTTTTAGATGGAAAGAGGATGAAGGAGGGGATGGCAACATCTGGCAACCTCCCATTGAATCCAGAAGTGAATCATTGCCAGCCTGTTTCATAACTTTAAACATATAAAACACATAGTTGAAAGCTGATTGTTTTTCTTGGCTTGAAATTATTATTAATGTAATCTTTTTGGGCTTGATGATTGTGGTTTTTCCTTAGACTTCTTTCACTTTGTCCTGGGCCGTATACTTGTTGGCAAAGCACCCAGAGGTGCAGCAACGTGTTTATGAGGAAATAGTTAATAAACTGAGGAAAGATCAAGTTCCAGTTGCTCATGATGTCCTAAAATTGCCTTTGATTAGAGCTGTCCTGAAAGAAACCTTGAGGTAAGTAACAGACAACTGAAAGATTCAATTCCATGTTATTCTAATGAATTTTGAGTCCATTTTAGCATTTGTAGTTTATTGTTGCTACTGCAATTTGCTGCTTCTACTTTTATTTATTTCAGTAGTATTGTGTCCAAGCATGCTCAAGCAATGCATAAGATAGATTATGTAATGTTTAATGTTTCTCAGTTTGGTAGAAGTGGTATCACATATGTAGGACATGTCTGTTAAGGCAGGGAATAGAAAGCTTGATTTTTCCCTTTAGTCTGTATGATAAAATGTAACAGCCTTCTCCCCCACTTTGCAGTTCCTACTTCAATAATTTTAAGCTTTTTGATTTAAATTAAAGGCATGTGACATACTTTTTTTTTTAATATGTTTATACTAAATGTTCATCATGAGGTGAGGGGAATAAGAGGATTTTAGAGAAGGCATCAATAAGGCTTTTTCAGCTTTAGCAGCAGTGCTAAAATGTCTCCAGCTTCACCACCAACTTCATGCTTGTACGTGTGTAAAGTGAATAAATGCATAGATCAAATAGCTCAACCTTCAGTTACTAATAAATAACTTTTCTCAGATGATGGTCATATTCTCACAGATGATTCAAGGTCTTTGAAGCTCCAGGGTGTTCTGCACTCCTGAAAAACATTATTGGTGTGACTGAATATCGCATTCATCTTGCGTATTTGTGAATGCAAATTGGAATCTAAACGTTTTAAAAATTGTGTTAGTTATTACTGTTGAACTTCAGGTAAATATTTCTCACTAGGTTATATCCAGTATTGCCAGGAAATGGAAGAGTGACCCAAAAAGACTTGATCATTGGAGGATACTTGATACCTAAAGGGGTAGGTTCTGTTGCAGTCCTCTGCAGAGAACAGTTTATTTTTTGCAAATGAAATATGATCTGCTCCAACATATATACACTTCATTGATTTTAAAAGATTTCTCCGCGCTATAACATTAAGAGGAAGGTATTTCATTTTATGTCACAAATAGATTTTATGATAGACCTGTTGCTGTTGTTTTGATATTTTTTATTTGAGTCCTCACCTGCAAATGAAATTTATCCTCATGACTTCATCTTAATATTCTTGAGGGTGGAGTCTATTATTAACATATCTGTGGAATGGTACAATTCAATTTAAGAAGCATGGATTTCATTATTCTTGCAGTTTTCCAATTCTTTGTCTGTTAATTCCCTTTGTGGAAAATTTCTCCCTTTTTTTCATGGCAACTTCATGAAACAATTCCCAATACTTGTGACTTGTTCCCATCTCCTTCCCCACTGCATCTTCTCTAATATATGCAGCAACTTTGAAAACAATTTGAAGATTATTTCCTTTGACCAATCGAGAAAGGGATTTGATTTTTGATTTTTTTTTCCCTTTTGTCTTCAGAATTACTCAGAGTTGCTTAATTTTTATCACCTATTATTGCAGAAATTACAGTAATTGCAAATGCTTTTAAATTTTGTTATGTGCATTGGAGCTAGCTAAATATAAATATCATTTATTTCCTCAGACCCAGCTGGCACTTTGTCATTATGCTACTTCATACAGTGAAGAGAATTTCTCAGTGGCAAATGAGTTCCGACCTGAGCGCTGGCTGAGGAAAGATAACTTGGACAGAGTAGACAACTTTGGCTCCATCCCTTTTGGCTATGGCATTAGAAGTTGTATAGGAAAAAGAATTGCAGAGCTGGAAATCCATCTTGCACTGATTCAGGTTAGAACTGTGTGATAGCATTACAAGAAGGAAATGAATTGGTATTATTTTTTTTATGTATGCCATTTCTGGGTATCCTACAGTGGTCAAAATCTTTTTTTGGAGTGTTGTCTAATGTACTCAAGCTGCAAAGACTAAAAAATTGAAAATAATCATGCTTGAAATATAGCATAGTACCTAATGGTATGGTACACAGGATGTAAAACTAAAGGTAAGTTTGTTAAGGAAATACATAGATTTGGTACAGAAGGCTTTTGTAAGCAAATCAGAAATCTTTCTTAATGTCTATTGGAATGGTTTCTGTGTTTTACAGAACTTACAAAGATGTAAAATGGATTTTATATCCTTATACTGATCACAGTGTGATGACAAACAGTAGAATTTCTCTATGTTTTGGTCTTTTTTGTCTCTTCTGGTTCTTTCTTCTAACTCATTATCATTTTAGATGTACATAATTTATAGTTATATAAATAGTACATATTGAGATGTATTGGTTTTGATTGGTTCATATCATAAAGAAAATGTTCCCAACAGCTATATTTTTTGTCATTTACATTTTCTATTTTGTCATTACATTTTCTATATTTTTTTGTCATTTACAAGACAGTCTATAGCTGAAATAATGAGTACAGATTGTGCAATCAAATTGCAAAGATTTGGTAACTATTTATAGTTAATTAACTATAAAAATATTTAGATCCATTTTATGTATCCAAAGGAAAGGTTGATTGAGTTTGTCTTTGAATTTCCTTCAGTAAACTTCTAGAGCAATCTCTGAACAATTAGTGCCTGTCTTTTGGAGCTGAGAGTGAGAGAGCTCCCGGGGGCTTGGTAAAACAAACACACTTCCATCTTTTTTAAAAGGAGGCTCAAGGAAGCAATGGAGAACCTACTTTGTTTTCTGGAAGGAAACTAGAGCATAACAGCACACAACCTATTTACAAACACAGAAATGATACTTAAGTGAGTTAAAATTAGAAACACATGGAGCTCATCAAAGAGAAAATGTTTCAGACCAATCTGATTTCTTTCTTGGACTTGATCACTTACCTCATGTGGAGGTATAAAGTAAGTCATGTACTCTGACTTCAGGAAGTATTTTCACACGTCCTGTATGTTTTTGCTCTCAATTAAATTAATAAAATTTGTTCCAGATAGAAGTGTCCACAAAATGCATGCACAGCTGGTTGTAAAAAGGAAATAGCTGGAGGCAGTAGTTATAGAATAATTGCTGTTGAACTGGAAAGCATTTAATTAAAATTCTGTAAAAGTCTGTCCTGCATTTGATTTAGGCTGTTATTTTCATTAACAGTGTAAGTGATGGATTAGAGAATACTTTTACAGCTTGCATGGGATACCAAGCTGATGTGAATTAATTTAAAATCAGGGGATGTGAATATAGAATTTTGAAGAAAAAAGAGAAATGTTGTAGAAGCAACACAAAATTATTCATTAATGACAGTTGCAAGTTAGTGCCCTTGAGAAGAAATAAATGCATAAATACAAATTTATGAAGAACTGTCTGAGTAATATTAGTACTGTAGGAAAAGACTGGAGTGATATAGTAAAAAATAATTCAATTCTGACAAGGCAATGTGATTCTAGATAATATTAGCAGCATTAGCAAGCATTTTGTATGTCAGAAAGAGGAGCTAAATTACTCAGTCTTGCCAAATTCACTTAGCAACAATAAACAGCCATCCCCATGCACTGCATTTTAAGGACAATGTAGCCAAATTCAAGGAAATTTGGAAGACAAAGATAATAACAAGAGGGATTTTGAAAAGAGAAGAATGAAGTAAAAGCTTTGTCACATATCTCATACTGAAAACTGTAGTTATGTGTAGGAAAATAATGCATTGGTTAGCAATCATACTAGGAGAAGGACTAGAGAAAATTACTTAATTTACAGAAAAAAGTGTTTGAGATTTATTATGAGGAGAAGTTGAGGATATTGCAGTATTTCCCTCTTGAAAGTGTAAAAGTGTAAAAAAGAGGTATTCTTCATTCAGAAAAATGAGTTTGATGGGATTGGGATTCCTACAGCTTTCTTAATAATTTCACATATTGATTGATATTAAAGGAAGTGAAATCAAAAACACATAGAGGGGAACCTCACAAGGTTTGGAAGAGACCTTAGTTTCTTTGATAGTTCAGACTGTTTAGTCTGGTTCTGTGGGATTTCTTCAGAAAGGTCTTGCTCAGTCCTCCCTCCATCAGAGGAGGATTTTCAATTACAATCTTTACCTTATAACACCTTTATTTTGTTTCCTGGATGGGAATCATAGCACTTAAACTCTGCCAAACTGGCAACACAAATTTTGCTTGTGACAGTCTCTTATGTTCTCTTGTTTAAAGGCTACTCTTCACTGGTAATTTTGCAGTTTTTCTAATACTTGTTCTGTTTATGTTCACAGCTACTTCAGAATTTTGAAATCAAAATTTCTCCCAAAACGGAACCAGTTCATGCCAAAACTCATGGACTTTTGACTCCTGGAAATTCCATCAATGTCAGATTTTGTGACAGGAAGTGAAACTCGGATGTTTTGGAAGTACTAATACAATTTTTATGGAAACAGGTTTGCATTTTGCAGAAGTTTAAAACACACTTGTTCTCTGGTTTGCAGGTATTTGACAATATCATGAAGTATTATGTTCTGCCTGAGTTCTAGCAGTACATAAGAGCAATTACCTCTCCTGTAACACTTAATTACACATATGAAAATATATGCCAAAAAGATTCCTTCTTGCACTGGGAGTCTCCTTTTATCTGGGAGAATTCCTTGGAATAACAACACATGCATTGAAAAAAGCCAACCAAAAGTAAATTCAGACATGTCAGTATCATTCAGTGATTTTGTTACGCTGCTACTCAGTGAGTGCATTTGAGAGCAAGGGGATTATTAGACAATATGTGGAAATTAGCTGCATGTCTAAGTTTATATTTTCCTGTTTCTTGTCATCCAGTGTTTTTTAAAAGTTTCCACGTAACAATGAAATTATGAGATCATTTTTTAATATGTAAAAACATTTACTCTGCATGTATTTAAAAAAAAAATTCCAGTAATATGAAAAGTAAGGATAGAAAAGATACAACTTACGTCACGTTGTTTAGACTTGAAATACAGAACATATACAAATTTATCTAAACATAATCCCCATAAAATGTTTCTATATATTTTTAAAAAATAAAGTCTTAAAAATGAAAGTTTAAATGTCACATTGGAGAGTTTGAAGCCAGGCATTGTTCTCATCACCAAAGCACAAGCCACTTTCATTGTTCTAGCTAATATGCCAAACCCAAATGTAAATATTAAAAGAAAATAGTTGTTACATTTTTATCATTTAGTTAAAATACTGCTTTTAACTTTATTCTGTTCTTCAACAGTAAGAACTGGAAACAGTAAGTTTTACTGTTCTTCAACAGTAAGAACTGGAATCTTCCCATTTCAACTTGCTGAACCCATAGGCAAATACAGAGTTCTGTAGGATGGAAATGTGACTACTGAAGTATTTAGAGAAGTTTTTTTACTATCTGGTGCCTAACAGAAAGAGTGGACACCTGGAAGTTTGGTCTTTTGGGAGTAATTTTGTTTGTTTGGGTTGTTTTTTTTTTTTTTGTTATTATTACTTTTCCTATGACAGCTGACAGAAAACCCTCCCTTGCACAATACTTTGGATAACTTTAGTATCACTGCACTAACCTTACATTCCCATTTTTGAGAGAAACCTTGAAACCTTGTGCCCTGTGTCCATGTTATGGCTTGAACAATGTTCAAAACTGCATATCCTACTAGGATACATATGTAATTATGTATAGTTAACTGTTTACAGGTCAGGCTCTGAGTGGTTTTTGGGAGGTAGTTTACATACTGAGAATCATAAATATTTCAGCTAAATAAACTTAGCAAAAGTTTCGCAACTTGTTTTTTAAAATGACAAAATTTTTCTTTGATTCTGTAGCCTTTGGAAGTCAAAGACAGGTTAGAAATTTAAAATCTCTAGTTTTAATGGTGTACATGAAATTTCACATTGCCACCTAGCTACTACAGTTGCGCTGTTAAAGTGTTTTGATTCCTTTTTGTGGTGCCTTTTCAAGGTTTAGAGAAAAGAAAAACAAAATCTCCTTTGTATGGATCTCCTAAACAAAATAATAAGACTAAACAAAATTGATCTGATCTATGAGAGGATTAAATGCTTACATAAGGACTTTAAAATGTTTTTCTTGTGTTGAGCATATATGTGTACTGTAAGAAAACCAGGTATTCTGTTGGGAGTATTTTCCTTGAACAAGCCTGCCTTGTGATTTTTCCAGGGCTTCCAATTATTCCATCTTTCTTGGTTTTGGTTTTTTTTTTCTATCCCATTGTTATTTTCAATTGTCTCCATCTTAAATCAAATGAAGAAATTTGTATTTGCCAGAGCCAGCTGACATCCCAAAGGAGATGTTTTGCAAAATCTGTTTAAAAGTCTATGGACTGAGTATTTGACTCCATAACTCTGCCTGGTTTTGTTGACTTGGAAACAAGGAACTCCTGCCTTGAATCCAAATTTGGATGCCATATGGTGCCTTCCTTTTGCTTTGTCATAGCATCATTAGAAACACCAGCCACTGCTATGTTTGCTGCTTGGTATGAGTCCCTAAGAAAAATGTCAGTGCAGAAGATGGAAGAGACATTCTAAAATGCTTTTTATAGCATTTGAATCTTTTAATGAAAACAGCCAGTATTTGTTCTAATAGAGCACCTATCCATGTAAGTTGTCTTTAATACATAATAAAATATTTATACAGAATTTACAAGTCTTTGTTCTTATTTTATTTACTATTTATATTTGCATTTTTCTTTAGCAGCCTCAAGTCTTTAACTTGTTGCATTGAACGGAAAGATTCACTACTCCATGGAAAATTAATAGTTGAGCTAGAAAAGAGGGGGATTCTTACAAGAATTTAAGGCTTTAAGAATTTTGACTTAGCAAAAGGGGAGATAACATTATGTTAAGAGTACTGTCATTGTGGAGGAAAGGTACTGGCAAAGTTATCCAAGAAATACCCAAGGATTGACTCTAATGTTAATGTTTTGATTAATTGCTTAATACACAGAGGAGTATTAAAGATATAAAGAAAAAAGACATACATCAAACCAAGCCAAGAAAAAAATAGCCCAGAATGTAATAGAAATAGGCTGGAATTTAATAGCAAAATATATGTGTGGATGGGTGGAATGTAGGAAAATAGAGATAGTGATGAAGGTAATCTCACACCTAAGGAGTTACAGCTGTGCTAATTATCAAGAATTAGGAACAGGCCTGCCCTTAATAGGCCATAGCTAGATCCAGTTAGGATGGGTATTGTAAGAGTAAGTTAACTGGTGGAAAAGTTGGATGGAGTTTGTTGGTTGTACTGAGAAAAGGAAGGAGTGAGTGCAGTGAGGAGCTGCCCATGAGAAATCACCAAGAAGGTACGAAACCTTTGCAATAAGATGGCAACATATATGTATATAAGAAATAAAAATAATTTATTTGAGGAGCTCACCACTTGAAAATGTAGTATGTGGAGGAAGGCCTAGATAATCACAGGTGACTAGAAATGGCAAATACGTGGGAATAATGAGAAATACAGCCTACAATGTATGAGATGCAATCTGACCTATTCTTCCCCAACTTCTATCAGAGATGCTTTTTCTTAACTGCTATAATACAGTGTGCTTAAGTGTTCAAGAAAGGTGGAGTTTGATTTGGACAGATGAGGATACACTAAGATTATCAGGTTAATAGTTTCTGTGAGTGGAGAAAGGGTTATACTGCAATGGTTTTTGCTCTGCCTCCCTGTGGTTTGCTGGCAGATCAAGCCCTGGCACATCTGGAAGCTATGTAACCATGGGCTTAGGAGAACTTTTTTTCTTGGACACAAAACTGCTGAGTTGATGTTGCTCTTTCCAGTTGGATTAGATAACAGGTAGTGGAAACATGGATGTCTGCAAGAAACTAAATTTATACTCAAAAAGTTTGTGTAATTAGTCTAGAAAAGTGAATATTGTAAGAGGACATACGTTTTCTCTTCAAATACTTTCAGGTTAAGCTCTTTACTCCTTAAGATAAAGGACAATGCCTGTTCAAAACAAGTATCACCAGTAACAATGAATAAATAAACTGGTGTGGAAGGTTTCAAACTATCAGGAGAATTAGAGTTTATTCTAAAGTCATTGTGAGACATGGGGAAGACTGGAAAAAAATATCCCCCACCATTAAATGATAAAGCATGGTAAAAAGAGTTCTATAAAGTGTTTAATTGGAATTACTCTATTTAGTCAGTTTGTTCTCTGTTTTTCCTTGCTCTCTTGTAGGCAAGGAAGGAATCTATAAGGTCAGTGATGAAATGTCACAGTGCCAGCAACATTGTATGCCAGTGGTGAATGAAACTTAGGAGATTCTAAATACCCCAGCTGTGACATGGCTGTGAAGATGGAGAGTAGGGTGCCTGGCAGCTGTGACCAGGAGAGAAGCAGGCACTGGAGCTGTGTTTGGAGCTGTGACCAGGAGAGAAGCAGGCACTGGAGCTGTGTTTGGAGCTAGGAACAGAAGAGCTGTGCTGGTACTCGGGACTGGGAGGGGAGGAGTGGGAAGGCTACATTGAGTGGAGGCTTTGTGGCTACCAGCTCAGGAAGTGTGAGGTGAGCTGGGGACTGCAGAAGGATGGGGCAGGCTGGGAGAAAAGCAATGAGGAAGGAATAGTTTGGAGTGTCTGTTGTGTACTATTTGCCCTGCATTACAAAAACAAGGCCACTACTGGTTTTGATCACTGAGGTTTTTTCTTCCTGTGCTATGCTGTCACATAATGTTTATAACTTTAAAACATGCTATCATATAATTTCATAGAATTACTAGTGATTTATATTTTTGGTAATGCCAAACTTCACCAGTGCATGCCCAGAGAAAGATTCTTTAACAAACCACTGATTCCCAGTGTTCAGAACAATGGTAGTTTATACTGGCAGGCTCCCACGGATGCATCCGAGGGTTTTTCACCTCCTGAAGTGTCACAGAAGTGTCAATAGAGGATTTACAGGGGCAAGTGAAAAGCTGATGGTAGGATGATCTGAAATGCTACCAAGAGATAGTCCCAGGCTGTGCAGCTGCTGAGCACAGATGAAATACATGTGCCAATGCCATGGCAGGGGAGGAAAACTGCTCTGACACATTGGACCCTTCTGATTTTTAGAAGTGAGCACCTCTGTCATGGACTATATTTATTGAAACAAGATAAACTACAGTTCCCTCAAATGCGTGCTGGAAAATATTTGGGAAGAGGTCCAAAGTTGCCAGGCATTTCTTATTCCTGTGTAGATTTTCATCTTACACATGCAGTAGTAAACAATAAAGTTGGATGGAAAGGTGTGAGTAGTAATTATTTTGGTACCTGACCTTTTAAAAATATATTTATATATACATATGTGCAATGAAAAGAAAAATATTTTATCTGCTGTGACTAATGCACGTGTTCCCTTTTTCCTTTTCAAAGGGTACTTACAACAGA